TCCTAGAACTCACTCTGTAAACCAGGCTGGCCTCAAACTCACAGAGATCTGCCAGCCTCTACCTCCCCAGTGCTGGGATTAAAGGCATGCACCACCAATGCCCAGCTTGTAAGAACACTTTTAAAGCCACTGGAAATATAAAACACCTCAGGATGCCCCCAAATGAAAGAACCACAGCTGTTTCAGCCATTTGTCCTGCTCCTCAGCTAAAAACCATGGCATTCTCTGGCAAACAGGCTGAAGCTAAAGCCAGGACCTGGGTAGGCCTGCAGGAGGCATGTCTGAACCCACGAAGGGTGCCCAAGAGAAAGCATCAGGCTTCAGGATGGCTGAGGAAAGAGATGAAACCACTGGTCTTCTGGCTAGCAAAAGCAGTCAGCTATCATCGCCTTTCTGTGTCGGGGGGTGGGGATGTAGGAAGGGGGTTGGGACTGGACACAGAGACTCATGGCCTCAGAGATGGGACCCAGTTTGCAGCCCAGGCTCTGAGCCACCCTGCCCCTTCCACATTTGCTTTCTTCCTTGCTCTGCTGAGACAGCCAGAAATTGGCCATTATTGTTTTCAAGGTGAAGGCCAAATCCTGTCTTTAGGATGATCTCAGTCATATTTTGAAAAATGCATGAAGGGCTGGGGGTTGCAGCTCACCGGTATGTAGGGAGCCGGTTCAGGCACCATTATTGTAATAGAGAATGCAGGAACCGGCTCCCTACACCGGTAGATGGTGAACGCCTCAGGTGAGTGCACAAGGCTCCAGGTTTCCTCCCCAGTGCCACACACACACACAGGCACAAATGCTTGTACAAAGAGGATGCATGAACATTCATATAAGACTGCTTCTGTCAGCTGTTGAAAATCTATGCTCTTCTTTCCCTTAAACAGCAAAAAGGAGAGTGTCACCAGGATGAGACCTCACAATAGACATGGGCCCTCACCTCAGGCCCAGACCTCTGCCTCAATAAATCCCCAGGAAGATGGCAAGAGGTTAGTTTAGCCAGGCAACAACAGCCGGGTGAAGGAAGGGAAGCCATGCCATCTTCATATGTAACAGATTCCAAGCCAAGTCAGAAATCAGCATGAACAGAATTCTTGGTGTGAGTGTGGGGTGGGGGTGGGGCAGACACCCGGATCAGGGCCTGGCTTTCCCCTCTTTGATGGGGTACTCTACTGGAGGCTACTAGGGTCAAGCCTGTCCAAGGCACATGCCAGGTCACTCCAGTAACCTGGACCCACAGAAGCTGTTTGCTGCCTGGGGCCACTAGCACCGTCTGGGTTTCTTACAGCTCTGTGATATTGCAGGCCTGTTTCTGTGACAGACAGCTCTGATTCAGTTAGCCAGAGGGCTCTAGGATGCCTCTTCTTTCGAGGAGGCAAGGAGGACAGAGCTCTGTTGTCTGATGTACTGCTGGAAAGCACCCCTCCTGGCCATCATTCTAAGAAAGAGACTGTGTGAGACAAACCCGTGCCCTTCCCAGCCTCTTTCCACAGCCCTGGGAGTTGGCCCACAGCCTAGAGGCTTTACCACCTCAGCGCAGCTAACATTTGGGACCAGCTGTGGGGCATACTGCAATATGCAGAGTGCTTAGCAGAACCCCTGGCCTCTATGCACTGGGTCCCAGGAGCACCCACCCAGCCGACAACCCAAACCAACTCTAGATATGGCCAGATGTCTTGGGGGAGGGGACAAATCACTTTCTTCTGCAGCCTGCTGTTCTAGAGGGAGGCATGGAGAGACCCCAAGAAGCAGATCCAGTCAGTAGTGGGGGGTGGGGCTCTAGGATCGGGTGTGTAGGTAGGATTGGGAGCAAAAAGAGACCAACCAGTCCCCACAGAGAAAGGGAAACTGGACAAAACAGATATTTAAATATGACTTTAGGATGTGTGCTATCTGACCCGCCAATCTTTAAAGAGCATGTTCAGTAACTGGCTGCCTAGGGTGGAGCTCACTCAAAGCACTGGCCTAGCAGGCTTCAGGTTCTGCCGCCAGCACCAGAAAAAACACAAGACAGAAACATCGCTCATCAGGGCTTCCTGAGTCATGTGTGGGTCAGGCTGTGCCCAGAGACCTGGTTGCAGGCTACTCTAGAGCAGCCATGATTCCAAAGACTGAAGAGGGGGTGTCAAAATTTTCAATGCACAATTTAGGACCAGTTTGATATTATCCTTGTAAAAGTACACATCACACTTGCTCTCTAACAATGCTTTTCCATGGGTGAAGACATAGAGACAGCAGGGGAAGTGGGAACACGCAAGGCGTGCGTGCCAGGTGTTTGAACCCATGGTGCATATGCATGGAGGCTGTGGGGACCTAGGGCTTCTCATGACTCCTCCATAATGCCTGGGTGTTTTTCCCTCTTTAGGGTCGGAGTTTGTCCCTTCACACCTGTCCCTTCCTTACCTTGCTGTAAGCACAGGACAGGAAAGAGCCATTTTTCGTAACTGTATCACTAAGTTCCCCCATGTTCCTGGGCCTGGGGTATGCTGGACACTTAAAACCTTGTTACAGTAATAAATGGGTAATATCCTAGGACACACTTTACCTCTTCAACCTGCAGGAAAAGACCCATGTCAAATGTCACCTCCTTGGGGAAGCCTTCCTTGATTTATTTTTCTCTTAGCAGAAACAATTACACTGTGTACCCCAAACACCAGGCTGATACTACACACATACACATGTCCCGGCATACACCAGTCAGGTCTATTACAATCCCCAACCAGAAAGTAAGCTCTCTGTGGACCCTTTGATGTTAACATTTATTATACCTACCCTTAATAGCACGTGGTACATATTAGATAATCCATAAATGTTTAACACAATAATCAAGACACACTGTCTTCTGTCTGCACCCCGAATCCTAAATAAATATTACAGTTCCAATGCACTGATGTTCATGTGCTTTGCAAAACTCAGAGTCATAAGCCACGGAGGACAGCACACTCTCATTACATCAGGCAAAGAAAGAGCACTTGCCCTGCCCCTTTGAAGGTTGGTCTGAGAAGTCTGGAAGGATCTATGATCTAAAGGCAAGATGATGTGTGGAACTTCAGACCCATCAGGGCCAATCAGACCTTCTAGAAAGTTCTCTAGCACTCCCCTTGCTCCGACCTGTACTCATACCTGGATTAGAGCCCTGGGCCAAACAGACTGTATGGAGAAAGCTGTAGGGCAGACTTCTCCCCATCTCTTTCCCCAGACCCCCATGGAAGGGTGTCTCTGAGGCTCTGTCTGGACAGAGAACAGCCTGTATATATGGAATCATGCCACCCACTGGGCTGGCTCTCCAGCCTGGCCTGTGGGCTCTCCTGCTTACCTGGTTGAAGGTCGGGGTAAGGGTGCTTTCTGGAGAGTGTCTATCCAGGGCAGGGCCCTCCTTCTGTCTGCAGTCCAGCTGGATCAGGCTGCGGCATTCTGGGTGGCAGGTGAATTTACAGTCTAGAGGAGAGAACCAAAGGGACTGGGGTCAGGTAGACATCAGTACATGGGAGTTACCCTCCACCCAGGAGAACTAGAGGCTGCACTCAGGTCTGATGGGAAGAGCAGTATAACAGAAGCAGGGGACAGGGCTCTGTGTAAGGGTGATACCTGAGCTCTGTGCCACAGTGAAGAGTGGCAGCAAGCACTTCACACCTGTGCAAACTGCTTCCACGTTCATTATCTGGTGTGACCTTGAGTCGTCAGTGATTTCCTCAGTCAGACCATCTGGCTATATATTGGTGCCCATTCTACAAAATTCATATTGCTAACCAGAGGCCACATGTCCTAGGGAAGGCCTCATTTTGCCAGTATATAAAACATAAGTTTATCACTCAGCCTTGATGTAAAGAGTTTACACAGGTGTAAGAAGGCATGTTGGGAAGAATTAAGAGCCTTCCAAAGGCAGAATCATCGCAAGCATCTCTCTCCAGCAGTGCTGGGGTGGTTCGCTTAAGCCCATTAGGATAGTCTGCTGATGACATCCCAAACTGGGAGAAAAAGCACACTCCAGAGGTGGTTCTTTGCTGTAGAAGTGGAGACTTAATGTCCAGAAGTGAAAAGAACCTTTAGATTTCCACCTAAGGACTTCCTTAAATCCAGTGAACTCCAAGAGGCTGAAAGTGAGGCACCTGGACACAGATCATGAGTGGCAGAGCATAGGCTGCTGTTTCTCAGGGTCTTCGTCTGGAGCCTCCTTGGCAAAAGGGAAGGGAAGTCAGGGGCCAGGAGGCAAAAAGATTCAGTCACGGGATAGGAGGGAAGAAGGACAGTAGGGGAGGGACTGGGGAAGGAAGGGTGAGAAACGAAAGAAATGAATGCCAGTGGACAGCAGGCAGCATGGCTCCCACAGGTGGCTGCTGGGTCAGCTGTGGTCCCTTGTCCTGGAGGTGCCACCACTCAGTCAGAGCATAGCCTTCCATGTCCTGGCTTCCCTGACTGTGCCTGAGGTGAGCCAGAGCAGCTGGGGTTTGTGGCAGGGACCTCAACGCCTGGGCTTGCATGCTAATCTGGAAGTTAGAAGACCACTTTTGGTTGACAATGGCTCAGGCACCTTGAGAAGCCCTTCCAGCTAACAAACTTCAAAATTTGTCACATTTGGTCTTTTTTTTCTCTAAGCTGCCAAGCGGCATAACCTATCTTGGGGTCCTGAGGCAGCGGGTTTCTTCTCTCTGCTGAGAAGTTCCAGAATGTGATTCCCAGACGCCCCCTTAAGTCTTTCCAAACACCAGTCCTTCCAGACACCAGTCCTCATTCAAGGACCCTGACAAACACAGGGACACAGACATTCCAGAACTCTCCATCCTCCTTCCTCTGTGGTCTAACTCCCCATCCATCTTTCTGGGGTGGCAGTTAAGGGCCATGCTCATATCCTCCAGGCCATGAGATAAAGCTCCCAGAAGCCCCTTCTTTAGCCCTGAGCTCTTGCCTTGAGTCTTCCTTGTTTGTTTTCTACTGATGTATTAAACACCAACACCAAAAGCAACTTGGGGAGGAAAAGAGTTTGTTTTGGTTTACAGCTTAAAGTCAGAGCAGGAACCTGGAGGCAGGAGCTGAAGCAGAAGCCAAGGAGGAGCGCTGCCTACCAGCTTGCTGTCTGCAAGTATGAATGAGAATGGCCCCTGTAGACTCACAAAGTTGCATGTTTGGTCCCCAGCTGGTGAACTTGTTGGAGGAGGTGTGTCACTGGGAGTGGTCTTTGAGGTTTCAAAAGCCCATACTCAGTCCCTCTCTCTGCCTGCTGTTTGTGGATCAAGATGTAAAGCCTGTGCCATACTTTCTGCCAGGATGATAATGGACTAACCCTCTGAAACTGTAAGCAAATGCCCAGTTAAATGCTTTCCTTTACAAGAGTTGTCTTGGTCATGGGGTCTCTTCACAGCAATAGAACACTAAGACACTCTCCATGGCTTACTCAGCTTGCTTTCTTATACCACCCAGGACCACACCCCTGAGGTAGCACCACCCATAATGGACTAGGCTCTCCCACATCAATTATCAGTCAAGAAATTAGCCCCACAGACTTGTCCACTGGCCAATCTGATGGAGGCATTTTTCTCATTTAAAGTTCAATCTTCCCAAATGACCTGGGCTTTTTGTCAAGGGTGGGGGGAAGCAAAACAGACAAGAAACAAACACAACAGAAGTTATAATGGGTAAGGTCAGTCCTCTAAGGTAATACCATGTACCTTTAGGGTCCCACAGGTGTCACGGGGCTCTAGTGGCTGACACACAGCTCACTGGAGATCGCTCACCCTCAGTGGATAAGGGGCACAGAAGGCCATGTGGGCCAAGTTCACCCACAGCATCCAGAAATGCCAGGACTTTCTGATAATGTAACATGGAGGGCAGAACCCATGAAGATGGGACTGTTTAGGGTTCAGAACAAAAAAGTGGGAACATAAAGAGGAGGGTGGGCTAGAAGCTCTGCCAGCTCCAAGGCAGGCGAGAGCCACCACCTCCACAGGGGGAAGGCCTCTCGGGAGAGCTCAAGGTTTCCTCTCTTCCCCTTGCAGTGCCTCAGAGCCTCGCATAGTTGGCACATTCCTCCTGACTATGCACCTGTGTTGGTCTTTTGACTTCCATTGCTCTCTCTCACTCCTTCCTCTCTTTGACACCCCCCCCAAAAAGAACCTCAGAAAGGTCTTTTTATAGTTTTTACACTCAACTAGGCAAGATGGGAAGGGAAGACTCCAAGAGCAGATTTGGAATTTTAAAAAAGTGTGTGGTGGCATACACCTTTAATCCTATCACTCAGAGAGCAGAGTTCAAGGCCAACCTGGTCCACATAGCGAGTTCCAGACCAACCAGAGTCACATGGAAGACACCATCACAACAAAACAAGACAGCAACAAAAGAAAAAACAAGAAATGCACATGACCGATAATGACTTTCTCCAGTTAAGACTTTGTAGTCATGACTGTAGCCTGAAATACATCTTCATACTTCCCAGTCCCTGGAAATGCCAAGCCCAGGGTTTCCAGACCAGCACTGATAACATCGGAGTCCCTGTGCCACCAGCACACACAGAAACAGTGTCCTGCAGGGCTGGGGTGTGTCTTGAGTAGGGCAATGTTCCATGTCCCCAAACCTGGACCATGTCCCAGGGGACACCTGGGGCCAATTCCACAGACCTCCTCTCAAGGCAGCTCATCACTGCTACCCAGTCCCTGGCTTTGGTGTCCTATTATATTCTACAACCTTTATCAGGTGTTCAGTTTGGACACGGGAAGACGCATCCTGGGTGGAACTGGGCCATGTAGATGCCACCATCTCTGTTGAAGCCCTCATGTGCGAGGCCTGGACTGACACATACTCTGTGCTAGAAGTAAAAGTAAGATAGGACTCTCAGCCAGATGCGGTGGCACACACCTATGATTCCAGCACTTGGGAGGCAGAGGCAGATAGATCTCTGAGTTATGAATTTGAGGCCAGCCTGGTAAACAGAGCAAGTTCTAGGATAGCCAGGGCTCCACAGAGAAACCTTGTCTTGAAGCAGATAAACAAAAAGACATAACTCTCAGGAACCAGGGAGCAGTGAGGACACACACAGGAAATAATTCACAAAATAGCTGAAAGCCAGGCCCCTCTCCGCACAGATCTAGGAAGCTGTTCAGACCTGTGAGCTAGGGGAGCCAAGGCAGGCTTAGCACAAAGGAGCCTACAAGACATGGAAAGAAAGGAGACACTGCAGCCAGCTCAGATGCCCTCATTACAGGGAATGGAGGGACAGGGGCCTGCCATCACTGAATAGCTAGGACAAAGAGCTCACCACCAAGAGGCAACAAAAGATTAGGGGAGCAACATTCCCAAGGCCTGGCCAGAGTTTCTTGGCATTTTAATTAATCTATATTGATTGTACACACTTGGTTTAATTGTAGCATTTTCATACATGCACACCATGTTCTGTCTTCTTGGCCCCTCTAGACAATCTCACTTCTTTCCTCCCCATCCCTCTCTATGTGATCTAGATTCCACCGTGAGAGAAAACATGGTATTTGTTTAGACTTTCTTCACTCAGCACGATTTCCAGTTCCATCTTTTTGTTTGTTTTTCCAGACAGGGTTTCTCAGTGTAGTCCTGGCGGTCCTGAAACTCACTCTGTAGACCAGGCTGGCCTCGAAGTCAGAACTCAGAGATCCACCTGCCTCTGCCTCCCAAGTGCTGGGACTAAAGGCATGCACTGCCATTGCCCAGCTTCCACTCATTTCCTTATAAATGGCATCATTTTGTTCTTCCTTAAAGCTGCACTCCCTTGTGTGCAGATAACCCCCGCCATCTGTTGATGAGCGTCTGGGTCCATCCCATTACCTGGCTACTGTGAGCAGAGCAGCAATAAACATAGATGTTTGGCATTTCTGGCATTTCTTTTTTTTTAACTTTTTGAAAATTATTTAACTTTATTTTATGTACATGGGTGTGAGGGTGTCAGACCTCCTGGAACTGGAGTTACAGTTAGTTGTGAGCAGCCATATGGGTGCTGGGAATTGAACCTCTGAGAATTGGTCCTCTGGAAGAGCAGACAATGCTCTTAACTGCTGAGCCATTTCTGGAATTTCTTGACATTAGTATTACCATCTATAAAAGGGTAATCCTCATGGATAGAGAGATGGCTTGGTGGGCAGAAGGCACTCGCTTGAGGACTTGAGTGCCATTCCTGGAACCCAGGCAGTAGAAGGAAGAGCCTGAACTCACAGTCTTCTCTTATCTCTGCCTGCTGCTCACCACCACCTAAAACAGGAATTGATGGGACCCCTCAATAGTTCACAGGGGCTTGTTCCCTCTGAAGTCTGAACAGCCTGAATCTTTCTGGCCTTTTCTAAGCGTCTAGAGTTTCAGAGACAGTCACACATTTGGTGGCTGGTATCTGAACACCTCCAAACTGCATCTTCTCAGGACTGTCTCCTTGTGTTTCTGTCTTCTTTAAAAGAATCTTGGTCAGACTGAATCAGGGGCCCACT